AAGATCTCCCCATTTGGGGCAGAAGGGGATGGAAACAGGATGTGCTTGTGGGCGTCCACTGGTGGAGAAACTGAATCCTTAGAAGGGAAAGTTGAGGTGGGGTGTGTAAAGAAATGCCCAGGTGGAGGACAGCCAATGGCAGACCACCCAGGCCAGAGTGGTGGTTCAGTGAGCTTCCTGTGGTTACATATGGGTGCGTGGAGGACGCACAGGCAGCTACAGGAAGTTTCCCTGGGTGTCATGCAGGCAGTTAGACCCTGAGGGCCCCAGTCCATTCCCCAGCAGTTGTTTGCCTTTTCTATGACCTCAGTGGAGGAGGGGCTCCACGGGGTTCTCCTCTCTCCTCAAGAGAACAGTGAAACAGATCTGGTCTTCTGAGGATTTCCATTTTAGGTTAGCACCACTGCTGTGTCTTCAGATGGCAGCATTTGTGTCCGACCCAGAGGAAATAACCACACGAGAGAAGCTCCTTACAGACTGGAGAGTCTACGGGAACCATGGACAAAGCGCGAAGGGCGACCTTGACTCCGATTGTGCATGGACCCATGCAAGCCCTAATTCCTCCTTTGCCCAGCTGGTACTAAATTGCAGCCCGCTGTGGGTAATAAGTGTCATGATTATGTCAGAATGTGTACAAACACTCCGAATGTAAATGTTACTGATGTGAGAATGAGGGGAAAGATTGTCACAGGGAAGCAGGGATTTCATACAACATCCTGGTCCAGTGTCTGGAATGGACCAGGAAGCAGCTCTTATCTGTGTGGTGCTGTGTGAGGACTGTGGACAAGTTTGAGTTGGTTGTCCCCTCTGGGTTACAGTTTTACATCTGCTCCTTCAGAAAGAGGATTCCCAAGCTTCTGAGGACCCTCACTCCAGTGCAGTTGATCACTTGGGCCTGACCATGACTTTTTCAGGAGGCCTGGGGACTTCTGAGTTCAGACAGCCTGGACAAAGACTCCAGGCAACACCTCCTGACTGCCTTCTAGATGTCCTTGCCCACACAGGAAAGGGGGTATTCCCATCTGTGGTTGCTGAGACTGTTTTCCAATCAAGAAGAAGGAATCCAATCGCTACTCCAGTCCCCATACAGACCACTTTTCGGCACACCCAGGGCCACCCAAATGGCCAGCTGCAGTCTCCTGACACAGAGGCACAAGGGGAAGCATATAAATATATCCTGGAGATCCACTGAGAGGATGGAGTGATGTGGAATAAAACGTGATGTCTATGTCCAAGTTCACCAGGAAGGAGCACACAAAGTGACCATGTGATTGGGGGATCAGACAAGGCATGATGTTCACCTTCCTCACCCTGCCCTGCTACCAATAGGATCAGGGTGGTGAGGAAGCCACAGAGCAGACTAAGTCTGGCCACTTTGTCTCCACAGCCATGGCCAGGGAGAACCACTGTGTTCCAGTGGCCAATAGTAACAGGCAAAGTTCCCACAAGTTAAGGAATTTGGGGTGTCTCTGTCTAACAGATGGAGCCTGTAGATGCCCTTAACAAGGGTCTACAGGCCCCGAGAACATGGACAGTCGTCTGTGGGAACCTGTCACTCAGTATCAGGCTGCAGTCTAGTAAGATGTTACCTGGAAGGAGACTCAGAGCATGTGAGCTAGAGTTGTGTAGTTCCAGGATCCCGTGGCCTCAGTTTCCTAGCACTGTAGACCATGACCCCCCAGGAAGAACTGTTTTCACTATGACCTGATACAAATGTGGCCATATGGACAACAGGAAAGCAGATATGGAGGACACAGATTTGACCCAACTCTTCAGGAGGGTCAAAGAGTGCGCCACCAAGCACTCTTTAAAGTGCCGGTTCTGGGGAGCACACTCGGGCCCTCCTGCCTCTGCAGCCAGCACTGTTTGCAGCCTGTGAGATGCACCTTCCGATTCTCATGTGAAATGAAGAGGCAGAGAGCCACACTCTGAAGGCCCTGGATCTCAGCTTGCTTCTTAGACTCCCTGCAGCTGTGAGTCCAGTCTTTTGTTTTCTCTGTGGGGGTAGGGGCCTGTGGGAGTATGTAGGGAGAGGAGGGTGTGCAGAAGTGTGCAGGGGTGCCCAGGAGTGTGTAGGTATGGTGTGTTCAGAGATGTGCAAGGTTTTGCAGGTGTTTGCATGGTCCTTAGAAATATAGAGGGGCATGTGGGTGTAGGAGCTTATATAGGTGTGGGGGGGTACAAGGGTGTGGGTGGGTACAAGGGTGTGTGGAGGTGAGCAGCTATGACTGGGTATGTGCAAAGGCGCGCAGGTCTGTGAGGGTGTGTGTGTGTGTGAGTGTGTGTTTGTGTGTGTGAGCGCGTGCACGCGCGCGCAGGTGGGACATCTGGACCCGGCTGGAGCAACGGCTCAGTAATTAAGACCATTTGCTTCTCTTATGGAGGACTGTATTTGCTTCTTAGCACTCACATTGAGTGGCTCACAACTGTCTGTAACTGCAGTTACAAGGGATCAATTTCCCTCTTTTAGCCTCCTCGGGCACCCGCATGCAATGTGGTGCACGTACAGACAGGCACACACACACATACCCACATTAAAATAAATAAATAAATAAATCATCTTTTAAAAAGGATGAAGTTGTGTGGCTGTGTGAAAAGGTCTATAGTGAGTGAGAGTGTGTACAGTTGTGAGCAGATGTGTGTGCAGGTAGTGCAGCGGGTGTTTGGGTATCTGCGAGGTGTTTAAGGTGCAGCTGTGTGCAGTGATGTGCAGGGTTGAGCAGGGGCCATATGGGGGTTGCCCTTCTGTCCTGGGGAGGAGGAAGTGCTGCTGGGCTCCTGGGCCTCCTCCTGTCCCCGGGAAGCAGACAAGAAAGCGAGGCCCCGGCACAGTGACAGCACAGATAGCACTGGAGCACCTCGGCCAGACCTGCTCCATCCTGGGTCCACACCAGGGAAGATCCTGTGAGGAACAGCTGCCGAATGCTGGGAAAGGACTTTCTGAGGAGATGTGTGTGGTTGTCTCTGCCCATCCGGTGCCAGAACTGCAAGAATGCGCCACCGAGCACTCTTTAAAGTGCCGGTTCTGGGGAGCACACTCAGGCCCTCCTGCCTCTGCGGCCAGCACTGTCAGGCCTGAGCACGTCCTCAGCCCTGCAAATATGGCTTCCTGTAAGTGGGATACGTTTCTCTCCGCTATACTCAAAAGGAGAGCCAAGTTTGGAGTAAGCCCCTTCCTGTAGTCTGGTGGGGAGGAAGTCGACCCAGTGGTCAGCCCTCTGAGGACGCCTTTCTGCTGCATGGTGACGGCCTGCCGAGGGAGCTAGGGCAGGCCCAACCATCTTATCCTAAGATCAGCGTTGTTTTTATATCCTCTTTCCTTTAGAAAAGGAAAATGATGACTCCTGGTGAAAGTTACCCTTTATCCACACAATATCCAAACCGAGGACCACATCTTCCAGTCCGGATGTGGGCACATACCGGCCCTGCCTGATGGATGGAGTTGGCAGGTTTTCTTCATCTTTTCTTGGCTCAAATTTTTGCCAACTTACATATTTTTGATGTTTCGATAGCTTTCCACCAAACCAGATGTTTCTGTGGCTTTACTGTGTAGGTTCACTCTCCCTCCAGGCAAGCTTATAGCATTTGATGAAATACTGATGCAGTTATTAGAAGATGATGCCATCGCAGACTGGGAGCTTCCAATGCTGGCTCTGGTGACTTGGCTAAAATAGTGAACTATGGAGCATTTTCACCTTCGCAGTAATTCTTTTGAATAATTCTGCCCAATCTTAACCCGGGTTTCCCCCTAAGAACAATGGAAGCCATTGAGTAATCTTTGCAGAGGATAAAGTGGCCGAGTCTATGCTTTTAACAGATTTCTGGAGCTGTTGAAATGGACTTGGGAATGGGGCTGACACAGAGGGAGGGGCTTCAAAGTCACCGTGTCAGATTAAGGTCATTGTTAACACACTGACAAGGCAGCAGTCAAGTTGATTAAACTGTGATTAGCACAGATAAAGCCAAATCAAACACTAGAGGGGGGGCTAATAGCCCACGACCAAAGGGCAGAGCCGCAATCCTACTTAGATGATTAGGGTCTCCTGCAGCATGAACTTTGTAGCTAACCGTAGTCAGTAGCGTACTCCACTTCCTCTGCAGTTACCTCCACAGTCCAGAAAGTCTACAGACTATGGCCCAAATTCTTGATACTTTAGACAAAAGAGTTTGTCTAAAGCACACACTGGTGAGTCTTCCAAAAATTGAAAAAGAACCCATTCTCCTCCTTCTCCGTGGCAGATATATTCGAAGTCGACATCAAACATAACATGGAGGAAGCAGCCAGCTTCTGCTCCATCCTCTGGGGTGGGTGGCACTCTTCCTCAGCTAGACATTCTGGGTTAGAAAAAATGTCATGAGGTTGCAAGATGCTTTAGTAAAGGGACAACCTTCTCAGAAACAAATCTGCATCCTCAAAAAGGTCTTCTTTCCACAGAAAAGCTCCCCTTTAGGGGTGGAAAGTTTTCCGTATAATTTTTGCAACCACACACAGATGCAGGATATGAAAAGATGGCATAACGTGTCAGCTGTGAAAATACAGCTTCATTCCCTGATACATCTTAAGTCTTCAACTCTGGAATCTGGGTGGAAGGAGCCATGATGCCCCCCGATCCTAAAGCCCCTCCTGTTTCCTCCCTGTTCAACACCGTGGCAGCATCTCTGCAGATCAGCCCCCAGAGCAGGGGCCCCGAGGAGGAACCGCTGGGCCAAGCGCCACGTAACTCAGACGTCTGCTCATAAACACAGTTGGTTTCTGGATGTCGCGAGGGAAAAGAGCAGCGAATGGGTTTTAACCCGTTTGCTGTTGCGGTGACGACACATCCAAGACTGGGCATCTGTAAGCGTGCACGTTATTTCTGGATCAGTGTGAGCTCAGGGTCTGTGGGGCAGGGTAAGGATGTGGTGGGGTAGGTCTCTCTTCCTCCTGCACTGCCTTCTCTGCTCAACTTGTGTGTGTGTGTGTGTGTGTGTGTGTGTGTGTGTGTGTGTGTGTGCGCGCGCGCGCGCGCGTGCTCACATGCGAGTGTTCCCGTGAGTGCGTGTGTTCATGTGTGTGCCCTGGCAGTCGGAAGGTGACCTTAGGTGTATTTCTTGGTCATTTTCTGTCTTGTTTTCTGAGCAGGGACTCTCACTGAATCTAGGTCAGCTGGCCAATCCCAGAGATCCTCTGTCTCTGCCTCCTCAGTACTGCACGCTGTTGCTCCCAAGGTTCCCAGTGGATTCTAGGGATCCAACCTCAGATCCACATGCTGGGGTGGAAGGATCCCTACCAAGTGATCATTTCCTGCCCGAGCCTTCGCTTCCTCTTCTTATAAAGCCACAAATGCCACCTCATGATCATGGTCACCCTCGTGATCCCACCCAGTCACCTCCCAATGGTGCGCCTCCAAATGCATCACCATACGATTTGGGGATTAA